ATGAATCCGGTGTCACGCACTTTTCGGTAACGGATTTCAATAAAACTTGACAATTAGATGTAATTCCAATAAAAAAAGCCAAAAGCAAACTTTTGAGGTCGGGGGAAACGTTCGAGGTCGGTTTGATAAAAAAAGTTATAATACAGATCTAAAACGTATTGGATAGTACAACGAAAACTTGAAAGTTTATTTTTGGCAAATTTATTAAGTTTTGTAAAACAATTTTGGAATAAAAGTTGTACCCCAGTATTATTTAGATCCGACTCGATCTGAAATACTTTTTTATTTTTATTTTTTAATATTATTTAAGGCTCATCAATAGACAAGTAATAAACCGAAATTGATACACATACAGACTTAATACGCATGTACAAGTACAATAAAAAAACAATAACAGGAATAACAAACAAAAACATTTTATATTAAGTCATTTTATCACTACTTGTTAAAATAATGCTTCTCTTACCCTTACCAATCGAGTATGTACCCAGAAATAGAGACAAAATGTCATTTAATTTGTTTGAAAACTATTCTGCCATATCATTTCTGTAACAACCTTGCTCCGATTGGCCAGCCCGAATTCGAAACAATTGATGGGTGTCGTCACTGTGTGTCGTCAATTGTTTCACTTCAAATCGACCAGTTATGCTATAATGGACGAAAATTGAAAAATTACATAATTTAATATTTACCTAATTAAATTTTCGCCTAAAGAAACCATTTCTATGGGAGTTTGTCCTACTAAGTTTACAACAAAAAATGGCTTTAGAGCGCAAGGTGACGCGAGAGGGAATTTTATTTCCAATTGTGTTGCTTCAGGTCGCGTTCAAGATCCAGAGCAAGATCTCACCACCATGACGGCAATTATTCTCGCAGCGGTCGGCGATACGGTCGGTGTCCCGATTGTAGCCATTGTAACTATAGTGGCCCCGACGCTGCTTTGGCCAAGTAACAAGGCCAATTTGTCTATGCACCACTAACAAATCTGTGACTCAATAATAATTACCCACCGTCTTTAGTCAAAAATAATTGTGACACTACGTGTTCTCTATTTTTTTTTACCACGGTAACTGTAATTTTGTCTTTATTTATTTAATAAATTTATTAAATTAATCTAACAATCATATGGTTGTTTTCTTTCTAAATTTAGTTTAAATTGCTGGATAAGAATGGAAGCGATTTTTGTAACTATAGCATACTCAACGAACAAAATTGTCGCAATTTATCGCGTTGCGCGATATGACCCTAAGCTGACCAATCAGGAGCTGTCATCGCTGCTATTAGCTATTCGTTGTGCGATATGACCTTGAGTTGACCAATCAGGTTAAGTTGCGGCAATATATACAAATCAATATTATATATCAATCCAAACTTCGATTTTGAGCATTAAGTACCAATACTATACAATA